TTTGTGAAACATTGTACTGGTTTTTTTTTTAAAGATTGTTAGTATTGTTCCCATTACACAAGGCTCCCCGCGGGGAAATCAGCAGCGCCGTGGCTGCTCTGCGCGTACTGAAGGCGCGGGGCGTAGGGGACAAGCCCCGCTGCTGCGTCGCAAGAAGGGTCCCACTCGCGGCCGGCGCTGCCCGGGGATTGGGGGCGGCTTTTCCCCTCACTCCCCTGGCCCGACCCCCTCGTCTCTCCGCCTTGTGCGGAGACAGATGTGCGGCTCTCAGCGCTTGGCAGAGCGGGAGRGAAGAGCATCACCATGAGGAAAAAAAACCCCAACAAACCAAAAACGAAAAAAAAAACCAACTTGATTTGCCGGAGGGACCGGGAAGGAAATCCCTTCTCTGGGGACTTCCCCGCAGCCAGAATAATTTTCCCCCGAAGTGATGCAGCCGGGCGCGGGCCACCGGCGGGCTCCCAGCCGCTGCAATTGCTGCTCGTCTCCGCACTCCCCTCCCTCCGCGACCGAAAATGTGCCCTTCATTTCCGAGAATTACCCAAAGAAATCCAGGCTGCAGGAGCCATTACTAGACATTTTAATTATTGGGATCATAAGCAGAGCGTTCAGGAAGCAGCAATAATATAGTTCTGCTGTTTCCTATTTGAATGGGTTTGGTGTAACATGCTTGGATGAGTTATTTGAGCCCAAATCGATTTCTCAAAAACAACAACAACAAAAAGCACGCCATACAATTACATTCCTATTACGGTCATTTAAGGTTTCAATATTTTCCGGAGATAAAGGAAATTTGACGTGAATGAATGATTCCCGTAGAAATGGCCAACGAACGACGCGATCCCGGGCAGGGATGCAGAACTAGGGACGGAGCGGGACGCTACCCCGTTGCCGTTCTGTGCCCTGAGTGTCGGGACAGAAGGACCACGGGCAGGAGAGGGGACGGGGCAGGGCAGGGCRCCCCGCGGGGCCGCTGTGGAAGCCGTCACCCCGCCGCTCCCGCTGGGGACAGGGTCACTGCTCCCGCTGGGGAAAGGGTCATCCCCACGCTCCCGCTGGAGAACGGCATCCCGTCGCTCCCACTGGGGAAGGGGGCACCCCACGGCTCTGGGTGGGCAAGGGGACACCCCGCAGCTCCCGCTGGAGCAGGACACCTCGCGGGTCCCCTCTCCAGGCCGGCAGCTCCATGGGGCTTCCCCGCCGTTCCCCGCACGATCCGTGAGCGGCGGGCGCCACCGCGCGGGCACTGCCAACCCGCGAACCGCGGAGCCGCCGGCGGGGCTGCCCCATCCCCGGCTGGGGAAAAACCCCGGCTGTGAGAGAGACCAGCGGGAAAGGGCTGCCTGCTACCCCCCTTCACCGGGCGTTGGGGGCTGGTGAGGTTTGTGGTGGGATTTGGTTTTTTGGTTTTTTTTTTTTTGTTTCCTTTCTCATGACTCTGCGGTAGCAGGTGTAAACGCGGGCTTTTCTGGAAACCGGTGCGGCAAGGGTTGTGCGAATCACGTCAGTATGGAGCCTTGAGCACTCAATATGCCTAAAGAACAGCAAAAAACATTGCCTCTTTTMGAAGAGGCGAGACACACACAGGTAATACATTTTGAAGCTGTGTCTGTTTTCACTTTAGGAAAGGTACTTTCAGCTACTTTTGATACAGACAGCTGCATTGACTCTCCCGCATCCCCACTCCCCTAAATGCCTGAAATAATAGCCATTAGCAGCACAGAGGTAGAGATTCCCATAAAACAAACCTGAGGCTACAGACCCCACACAGAGACCCAGTGCCACCCTGGTAGTACTGTGCGTGCAGGAGCAATGTCAGGATGGTTTGTAAAAAARTGTCTCTTCTAAAGCTCTCGTTATGTGAGCAAGTAACCCACACACAATTCATGCCAATAAAAGTTTCATAGCATCTCAGTCCACGTCACAGCAGTGTGTGTGCAAAGTGAATACGATTATGACATTATTGCGGTTTAGGCTGAGGAAGTCAAGGTTTAAATCTGCTCTCTGCGTACAAGTAAATTTCCAGATAACTCTGTCACTTCAAGGCTGAGAGGGATTTAAGGTATATAATACTTGCCTCTAAGGCAAATTCCTAAGGCAGCATCTGAAGAAAAGCAGGCTTTTTTTTATTGGCAGAATTTCTTTCATCTTCCCCCTACCAGCTTAAATTAGACCTTTTAATTTATCTGRCTATTCTATTTTAAATATCAATTTTATTAACTAGAGCACTGTAATTCTATAGAAGTTTCTAGAGCAGCTTACATCCTCTGAGCCTTGTCAAGCCTTACTGCAGCTGACTGTGACGGACTGCTGGAAACCTTAGTGCTATAATTCCAATTCAAATGAACATGTTTCATCATGTACCATGATGGGCATCTTTTCAACCTTTAAGAAACCTCCTTTTTATAGTTATGTATATTTTACAAAAAATACTACAAGTACTTTATCAAACTGTCAGGAACTGCATTGGTCCACCAATCCAGATGTCTCATGCACACTGGCTGGATGTCCAGCCACTTTATTCATATTTTCTCAATATGTCCCARCTTAGCTGCGTATTTTAAAAATAACCTGGAAGAACTGATGTACCGGGAATACATAACATTATCATGAAAGGGAACGTGTATTTCTGCCAATATAAAAAAGGATTAATTCTTCTTTCTCAAAAGCAAGCAATCTTGCCAAACCAGTTGTGTGTCACTCTCACACACACACAGGTTTGTCATAGGTTTATCATCTATCTTGCTATTTTCGCTGCCCAGGCCTCCTTTCTTACTGGGGTGGCTTGGGGAACCTGTTGCTGCCAATGAGTACTTGTCTGCATCAGTTCCATAAACATTAACATCAGCTTTCACCTTTTCTCAGCTTTCCTGACTCYTCCTCCTCCCCAAGGCCAGCTCCTGGCAAGGATGAGCTTGTCAGAGGGGAGATTAACCTATCCACGAAGTCTTTCAGCTGTAGCTGTGGTCATCTGAAAAAGGCTAATTAGGGAYTGCCTGGAAGCAGAACAGAAGCAGAACATTGCGGCTCAAGCAGGGCTTGGCGGTTGTTTCAGCACTTCCAGCTGAGACATGGCATGTGCAGCAGAGGTGGGAAAGCCTCACTTTCCTCATGGAGGCTAGATATCAATCCACTCAGAGACAGACAGAGATGAAGTATTTAATTTGCAGAGTTGCTTTTCTTTTATTAAACCATTCCCTCTCATGCTTTCTTTAGGTAAAAGCAGCAAGATGCTTAGGCACACTGTAGCAAACATACAAATCYCTGTGCTTTCTCATGTCTGAAGGGACAAAACTGCAATCCAGACAAGCTTGGTCACCCAGGGATGATCTGGCCAGGAGATACAAACTACCAAAAAGCCCAGCGAGCAACAACCAGGGACAGTACTGGGACTTCAGATCTCTCCAGAGATGATAGAGGCAAGCCTCACCTAGTGGCCGGGCCCCTTGCCAGCCTCTTTGCRTGTGACCACCAAGCATTAGCAAAACCTCTCTGAGAATCTTCCAGATAATTCCTTGTTGCCTTTTATAACCTTATTTCCAAGCAAACAGTCAAAAAAAAATTGACTGGGGTTTTTATTTCCTTTTTTCTCTGAAGCGAGGAGGCAGAACAGTAGTTCCAGGGCAGCAGCAGCAGCAGAGCAGTCATTCTGCTCATGGTGAGAGACGAGGCCAGTGGGTTGCCTGTGTCTTGCATGACTGCCCACACAGAAACTCAGTGTTCGATCTCACAGCGTGGGCGTCCTCCTCCCCTATTCAGAAAATGAAGGCAGATGACTACAACAACACAGAGGCAAAGGAAGAGTCATTCCTGCCCAAACACGAAGGCAAGAAAATCACTTTCTAAATAAATGAACGACAAAACAGTGGAGTCAGTTTCACAGGGAGGTACCACCACGCTATGTCTGTGACAGAAAATTTCCTTGGATGACCAATAGGTCCATTTATAACCTCCTGTCTTTCRCCAAAATAAATGTGTGTGCTGCAAGAGAAAAAAAAAGAGTTGTCCTTGATGCTTTCTGACAGAGGTTCTTTGATCAATCATTTATATATGAAAACTAGAGAAATAAATTATGAAAGACAAACAACAACAACAACAAAAACCTGACTTCTTTTAAGACTTAATATTCCAAAGGCCTATTCTACACTAAAGCCAGCAACCTACAAAATGCCACTAAAGACCTCGTTAGTCCRCAAGGCAGAGTAAAAGGCTTTAGCACTGGCACCAGATCTATTCCTACTCTCATTTCCATTTGGCGTTCAGGGGAAGGGTAAATCCTTAAGCAGATTGAATATACAAAGTTTCACAAATGCTGCCAAGATACGATGATTTATACT